AACATCTAAGGAAGGAAGAAAAGAACAAAGACCTTCGAGTAGGTAGAAACATTCTTAGTTGCTTGCTTATTTTCAAAACAAACATCCGTTCAAACACACACCAAACACTTTCAAAACATGAAATATTTTCAAAAGTACAACACTTTGTATACATTCTTATGGAGACGAGAATCATTACAAAGTTTGCCTAAACGAATGAGTTTTTCAAAAATACTTTCAAAATCCACCACAAAGCACACCTTCAAACAAAAGCAAATGATCTAGCAAGCAACTAAGAGCCCATAGATAACTATGGATGAAAAGGGTTCTAACACCTTCCCTTTTCATAATCTACCCCCCGAACTCAAGAAAATAATCTCAAAGGTCTTTCCTGTTCTTTTCACCCTTTTCTTAATTGGATAAAAGAAAAGTCGGTGGAGACTCTTGCTATCCGCAACAATTGCGATAAAGCGTAAAACACCCAAGTCAGTTCTCCCACCGCGTTACACCGAGAATTTGTCTTCAGTAACTGTAATTAGAACTTCTATATCTGCAAAATGTTCAACCTGCTTTGACTTTTGAGAGCCAAGCTTATCATCAAATCTGACACTAATGGATTCTTCCATAATTCATTTTCCTGCGTTATATACTCTATAACCTTTTTAGCTTTCAGAGTATCCTATCATGAAACACTTTTGTGCCTTAGAATCAAACTTGTTCAGATTTTATTTGGTGTTCAACATATAACAGATACATCCAAATGGATGGAAGTAAGAAATGTTGAGCTTTCTCTTCTTTCACAGTTCATATGGATTCTTTTCCAAAATAGGTCTTATGGAGATTTTATTATGAATGTAGCACGCTGTGTTAACTGCCTCTTCCCAGAAGTGTTTAACAATGTTAGTCTCATTGATCATGGTTCTGACCATTTCTTATAAATTTCTATTCTTTCGTTCTACAACTATGTTTTGTTGGGGAGTTCTAGGACAAGAGAAGTCATGAAAAATGCCACTTTCATAAAAAAACTTTTCAAAACTTTTATTTTTGAATTCACCACCATGATCACTTCTGAGATTTACATTTCTAAACTCTTGTTCATTCTGAACTTGGTTACATAAGGTAGATAACACAGAGTGTGATTCGTCCTTGTGTCTTAAGAACTTTACCCATGTCCATTTGCTATAGTCATATACGATCACTAATCCATACTTCTTGCCACTAATAGATGCAGTTTTTACTGGTCCAAACAGATCTATATGCAAAAAATGGTCTAGAGGTAGAAACAACATTTTTAGATTTGAAAGAGGGTTTTGCAAACTTGCCTTTTTGACATGCTTCACACAGAGCTCTGAGTTGAACTTCAAGTTAGGAAGTCCTATGACCAGATTAAGTTTGTAAATCTGAGATATTCTTCTCATACTAACATGCCCCAATCTTCAATAGTTCCAGAGCCAATTATTTTTCCTTTCTGTTTGCCTCTGAAACCTACATAACCTCCAGATTTAAGTTCCAGACTTTGGATCATATACTTTCTTCCTATCATGTGTCGAGATCATCTAGAGTCTAGGTACCAAAATTGGTGTTTCAACTTTGTTGTTAAAGACATCTACAACATAGATGATTTTATCCTTAGGTACCCATATTTTTTTGGGTCCTTGTTGGTTAGAGTTTCCAGAATTATGATTGAATTTTAGTTTATCATAAGAGTTCACTGAATAAGATTCACTAGTTTATTTTATATCATGTGTGTGTCCATATGTAAAATGTGAAATTAGGAGTGTGTATTTTATGACCATGTCATCAACTTGTTTTGGTTGATATGGTTCTTCTCCTTATGGTTTCACACATCCTATACCTTTTTTTCCGTTTCTGCTAACTCCATAGATTATTGAGGCCATCTTGCTTCTATCTATATTTCTAGTTAGAAATTTTCGAAAGTTGTGATCATATTTTTTTATGATATTACCAGAGCTATTTGAAACTTCTGAAACAGATTCTTTTTGAGCTTTTTATAATTCGTTGTTAATGAAGGAATTTTTATTTTTAAGTTTAAATTTAATTTCTTTTAGCTCAGAGTTTTGTTTTTAGTTTTCTAGTTTCTTCACTTTCAGATACAAGACCGTGTTTCAGGTTCTTATATTTGATTCGAAGTTGCTGATATCTTTCAAGAATTTCAGACAGACTATCTTCTAATTGAGATCTAGAGAATTTTGAAAATACCTCTTCTGAGTCTGATTTAAATTCTGATTTATCTATGTCTTCTGATATGTTGGCCATTAATGCTATATTGGCTCGTTCATTTTCTGATTCAGATTCTACTTTAGAAGACTCTGAGTCATCCCATGTTTCAATAACATTTTTCTTCTTTTCTTTGACAAACTTGTTTTTTGGCTTTTATTTATGAAGTTTGGGGAAGTTTCTTTTGTAGTGACCTGACTCTTTACATTCATAACAGACGACGTATTTGCTGCTAGACTTTATGTATCTAGAGGATGATTCAGAGTGATTACCTGATCTTCTACGGTTTAAGAATTTCCTTTGTCTGTGCTTCTATAGCTGACGGACTCTTCTAGAGAGAAGAGATAATTCGTCTTCTTCTGATGAGGATCCACCAGAGCTTTCTTCTTCTGCCTGGAAAGCTTTAGTTTCATATTTTTTATTAGATTTAAGGGTAAGAGACTTACCTTTCTTATAGGGCTCATCTTCTTCTAGTTTTATCTCGTGACTTCTCAGAGAGCTGATTAGTTCCTCTAGTGATATGGTGTTCAGATTTTTGGTTAACTTTAAAGTTGTGACCATAGGTCTCCATTTCTTGGGTAAGCTTTTGACAATTTTGTTTACGTGATCTGCTGTGGAGCACCCTTTGTCCAGAACTTCCAAACCAACAATCAGAATTTGAAACCTTGAGAACATTGTCTCAATATTTTCTTCTTCTTCCATTTTGAAGGCTTCACACTTCTGAATAAGTGCAAGAGCTTTGGTCTCTTTGACTTGTGTGTTGCCTTCATGCGCCATTTTTATAGATTCAAACATGTTCTATGCAATTTCTTTGTTGGTGATCTTCTCATACTCAGTATATGAGATAACACTCAAAAGAATTGTTTTGGCTTTGTGATGGTTTCTAAACTCTTTCTTCTTTTCATTCGCCATTTTCTTTCTATCGATCTTTTGACCTTTTGCATCGACTGGATGAATGTATCCATCAATTATCATGTCCCAGAGATCAGTGTCATGAGCTAGAAAGAAACTCTCGATTCTGTCTTTCTAGTAATCGAATTTTTCTCCATCAAAGATTGGCGGTCTTCCGCTGATTCTATCCTTCTCATCATGGTTGTCGTTGTTGTTGTTTTGACTTGGTTCCACCATAATGTTTTTCTTTCTTAGGATTTTTTTCTGACACGGTTAAATGTTAGCATCCAGAACCAGGTGCTCTGATGTCAATTGAAGGGTAGAAAAACACAAGAAAGAGGGTTTGAATTTGGGTTTTCAAAAAATAAGGCTATAAAACACGTTGATTATCTTGGTTCATTTTGAACTCAAAACTACTCTAGTCTACCCGCCAAGGTAATTTCGCCTCTCTCAATCGAGGTCTTAATCCACTAATCACAAATGATTACAGTTCAAAAAGACAACTTTCAACGTCTTCTTGAGACCAAACCACAACTTGGTTTCTCAAGGAAATACAACTAAAAATAATTATACAATGTGTTTGAGTTTGCTTCTAACAAGCTTTATCACAATTATGATATTTACACAAATTTTAGGACAAAGGCTATTTTTAACAGATAGAAAGATGTGATAAATTTTGAGCAATTGTTTGTATGTGTGTATGTGTGTTGTCTGATTCTTCTTCATAGTCTTCTTTATATAGGAATTTGATCCAAGAGATCCGTTGGAGACATGTGCGATATTTTTGGAAGGTTGATGATTTGATGTTAATATCCTTTCCAAAAATAAAGATCTTGTTTCCAGCCATAATGTTTCAGCCGTTACAATCTTGATCTTTTAATGATTATCATTTAATGTGATGTTGAATTTACAATTCATCAGAGTATCTTGAACTTAAGTGCTGAGTCTTAGAACTTCAAAATACATGAGTGCGTTGAGACTTCCTTTATTCTTTCAAAACTCCACTTATGAGAGTATAGCTTGCAACTTCGTGCTTCAGAAGTTTGATTGTCAGCATCAGAATTTCTCTTTCTTGCGTGTTGTTTTAGCTCCGCTTCAGAGCTTCTTATATGTTATTCTTCTTTAGAGCTTCATATGTGATTTTTCACGTCATTAATTTTCTTGCTTTAATCAGAACTTCTCTGTAAATTCAATCAAATGATTAGAATGCATAATTATTCTTCATAATAATTATGTATTTGTTATCATCAAAACTAATAACTGGATATAGAATCAAACTATGTTCTAACATATATTACACTTAAAAAACATATAAGACATACTATAACAAATGATTCAAAATTTATCACGGAAAATAATTTTATCACAGAAAATATTTAAAGAGATGCAAATTTAAAAAACAGTTTTACAAACAATCAATTACAACTTTTTTATTAATTAAAATAAAAAAAAAACTTTTCTCTCTCCTTCCTTATCAAAACCATCCCATAATTTCAATTGAAAAAAATTAAATTTTAAATAAATTTTAAATTTTATCTTTTCTAATTGATTGTTCATAAAAAATATAAATTTATATACGTTTTCATACAAGTATTTCTTATTTATCACACATAAACTTAATTTTTTTTAGATGATTGAATCGTTACCAACCTAAAAAAAAATTCTAAAAATTCAAGAGAGTTGTATGATAAAGCATGTGAGTGAGAGAGTGTGTGCGTGTGGTATATGCATACTTCCTCTGCTTATATAAGATTCCAAAATTTGTTCCAATATTTCCTCAACAAACGGCCTTGGCTTTTCTTTCATCTCATCTCTCAACTTATTTCCACACACACACTCTCTCTCTCTCTTGATCATACCAACATTTTTTGTATTATTAACTAATTAATGCAATGCCAATACAATGCATAACAAGCATGCCTCAACAACTCCCAAACCAAGAACAAGAAACACCACTAGTTTTCGACGCATCACTTCTCAGAAACCAAACAAATCTCCCAACACAATTCATTTGGCCTGAAGAAGAACAAGCCTGTTCAAACATTCCCGAACTCGATGTACCGTTCATCGACTTGGGAGGTTTTCTCTCCGGTGATCCCCTGGCAGCAATGGAAGCATCAAAGCTAGTTGGTGAAGCATGTCAGAAACATGGTTTTTTTCTTGTTGTTAATCATGGGATTGAGAAAAAGCTAATCTCGGACGCTCATGGTTTCATGGATGGTTTTTTCCAACTTCCTCTGGTTGAGAAACAGAGAGCTCAGAGGAAAGCAGGGGAACACTGTGGTTATGCTAGTAGTTTTACTGGTAGATTCTCTTCTAAACTTCCATGGAAAGAGACACTTTCTTTTCGATTCGAAGCCCATGAAAATTCGCCAAATCTTGTTACAGATTATTTGTGCAACACAATGGGGAATGACTTTGAACAATTTGGGTAATATAAATATGTCACTTTTTCTTCACTTCCATTTTAAATGTAGATAACACAGATATCGCAGATTCGAACCTGCATATCAGACTATCTTCTTATATTGTCTGAAAGTCAATAATGTTTCCATATGTAAATAAATTTAAAATAAAATTTTAAAAGTAACATAGTAATTAACCATGTTTTATAATTTTGCTAAATCATGTTCTTATTATTTATTTGTTTATTTATGTATGCAGGGAGGTTTATCAGAAGTATTGCAAAGCAATGAGCAATCTTTCATTAGGAATAATGGAGCTTTTGGGAATGAGTCTTGGAGTTGGTAAAGGCTATTTTAGGGAATTTTTTGAAGAGAATAGTTCAATAATGAGGCTCAATTACTATCCTCCTTGTCAAAAACCTGAACTCACTCTAGGCACTGGACCTCATTGTGATCCAACATCCTTAACCATTCTTCATCAAGATCAAGTTGGTGGCTTGCAAGTTTTTGTTGATAATCAATGGCATTCCATTACACCACATTTCAATGCTTTTGTTGTCAATATTGGTGATACCTTCATGGTATGTTGCTTTCTTTCATTCTATTCAAATTGCATATCCATTACTTTTTATCATTTTTAAAATAAAACAATGAACTCTAATTACCTACGACAAAATTTAAGGGTTAGGGTTCTCTCCACATAGAAAAGAAAAAGACACATCGCGTAAAATATTTTCATTTCATGTGTATTTTCTCATATATTAGAATCTAAGGGTGACAAACAAGTATATTCGTCTTGCAAAAGCTTGAAAATAAAATGATGAAATAGGACAAACATTATTAAGAGTGTACGTCTAAAATTTTGGTCCGCTTGCAAAAGAATGAAGACGGGGTGGGACGAGCTTGCAGACACTATATTTTTTAAATATAAAAATTATAAAAATTATGTTAACGTTTGCTCCTTGCGAAAAAAATGAGACGGGACAAAGCGGACAAATTATAAAGTTTAGGCTAAAACCTTATCCGCCCTATCAAAAAATACAGGCAAAATAGACATGTCTGACGGAACGAATCGTTTTACCACCCTTAAAATCATCTTGTAATCGAGATGACTCGTCCGAGTTTGAGATTATCAATTTCTTGCCCAACTTTTTTTAACATGTGATGTTGCATGAGATTTTAGTGCTAAAAAAAACAAGCAATTAGGTTGTTTTACAACCATATCATACTTTTGTTATGTTAAACCTAATTTGGTTTTTTGTATTGATTAGGCACTTTCAAATGGGAGATACAAGAGTTGCTTGCACAGGGCAGTGGTAAACAGTGAAACGACAAGAAAATCTCTTGCTTTCTTTCTATGTCCCTTAAGTGATAAGGTGGTAACTCCACCATGTGAATTGGTGGACAATTACAACCCAAGAATCTACCCTGATTTCACATGGCCTATGTTACTTGAGTTTACTCAAAAACACTATAGAGCTGATATCAAAACACTTGAAGCATTTGCCAACTGGATTCAACATAAGAGCACATGAAGAACATGAATATTGGTCTTAAAAAAATTGACACTCATGTGGAAATGATAAGAGAGAGTTAGTTTCTTCATGTTTTGTGTATGGTAATGGTAAGAGTAGTGATGATTAATGAACACACAATAGGGAAATAAAACTTGTAAGGTCATTCATGTAATTTTCATTTGATGGTATATTATATAGAAGAGATCAAAGCAACTTTTTCAAATGGAAAATGTAACTTTTTCAGAAATGGATGAGATATTTGGCTAACGACATATTAGGATTGCATCATATTATGTTCGGTTCTTGGACAGTTTGGTCCACTACATACACGATTCCATCTAAGTGATAGAATAAGGGGCCCTTAAGTCAGTTTAAGTCAAGTCATTTTGTTGCTCGATATTTTATAAAACCAAAAGAATAAAGGGAAAACTCAGTTTGGATCAAAGTCATAAGGAATAACTTTGATTAATAAATTTGAATAGAAACTATGGCATTTTACTTATACTTATCAATTTATTTATTCAAATATTTAATTAAAGATCAAAATACACGTTAAAATACCTATAAAAAGATGAAAATAAACTAACGATGAAACCATATTTTGTTACTCGAAAAAATTTAGTATAATAGTTTTTAAATATAATAGTTTTTAAAACTATTAGAAAATATATATCTATACTCAGAAATGATGTCACTAAATTTTAAGACGTTCACATATTTGTTTGATAATTGTCCCCTACACGATTGGAGTCTAATTTAAAGCCTATCTCGTCGAACCTTAGACCATGGACCCATTTTAAAGCAAATAAAAGTCCTAAATCTTTGTGTCTGTCTCATCGAGCCTTAGATCATGGACTCCATTAAAACAATTAAAAGTCTTAGATCATGGTGTATAGCTCGATTTTGCCACATATACATCATATTCGGTCACACATTTTTGAAGTTCAATTTCACTTGATATCCATCTATTTTATGGTTCCATGTTCTAGGAGTGTGTTTCAAGCCATAAAGTGTCCTATTCAGTCTATACACCATGTATTCATTGTCTTTGATCTCAAATTTTGGTGGTTGGCTAACAAAGACCAATTTCTTTGCATTTACTATGGCTATTGTGATCGGTGGATCTGGAACTGACTGTTTTAACGCTGGTTCGCGAAATGTCGCGGAAGCAAGAGTCGCCACCGTCTTTTATTTTCTCCAAATGGAAAGGACAAAAGCACAGAAAAATTCCTTATAGAGATTGCTCTCGGTTCGGGAGGTAGGTTATAGAAAGGGAAGGTGTTAGCACCCTTTCTATCCATGGTTATCCATGGGCTCTTAGATACTTGCTCAATGTGTTTTCAAAAATGTTTGCTTGCTTTTCAATGTGGGTTTAAAAAAGTTTCTTTGAAAAATTTCAGATCGACTCGTACGTCAGAGTGTTTGAAAAGTTTGCTTTGAAAGCTTTTGAAAAGTGTTGGTGAAAAGATGTTTTGATTTGTTTGAAATTAGAGCAAGTATCCTTGAGAACCTACCTACCCTAAGGAATTCGTCTGTGTAGATGTCCTTTAAAGTAGTGCCATCCCACCATTGAGAGGTAGGTAGCACCACCGTTGGAGGTGTTCGGGTCAACTCGATTTTAGGGACATGGTGATCACTGGAGCAATGGGAAGACACCTTAGAAGCTACCCTCATGCCAGGTTCCCGGATCATGAGGACTTACTAAGACGTTTTCTACTCGACGACCACCTTTCGAAAGGCAACAGTGAGGCGTACCCTAGGGGTGGTGTGTGCGAATCGTGTGTTGTTTTCATTGTATTTGTCTTGTCATGTTTGTTGTGTTCTACGCTTGATTTTTATTTTTGGGCATTCATTCTTTCATGCATATTTATTAACAGTTATATTTGCGAGAAAATAAATCTAGACTATTACAACTGGCGCGGGTCCACATCGCCAAAAAAACCGAACCCGATTTGACTGAAAATAAATAAAGCGAATAAATAAAGATGCGAGAAATAAATCTAAACTTATTACAAGGCTTTGGGGCATATACAGAGGTATTTAAACAATGTAAAATAAATGCGCGAAATAAAGACTGAACAAAATTAGGGCGTTGGACCCTTTTACAAACAATTAAAATTAATCAAGGAATTTAAACTTAAATGAGAATGATATTTTTGTGTTTTTTGGATTTAAAAGAAAAAATGAAAAATTAATTAAAATTAAAATGCTAAACCCTAGTTTTAATGTTTTTTAAGTTTATTATAAAAAAAGATTTAATTTCTAACCTAATTAAATTTTAAACTAATTTATGTACAATTTTTGATTTATAGAAAATAAATAATAAATAATAATATTGTGAGAAAAGGAATAATAAAAAAAAGATATAAAAAATTAATAATTAACCTAATTCTACATTTTTTGGATTTTTATTATGAAAAAGAATTAACATTAAAACTTAATTAAACTAAATGATATACATCTTAATTTATTTATAAAAGTAGTCAAAGTTAATTATATTTTTTTTTGTCCTTTCTGTACTTTTAATGTTTTTTTATATTTTTGTAAGAATTGATTAAATCAGAAAATAAAATACACAAGTAAATTTAAAAATAATAGAATATAAAGAAAATTAGAACAAAAAAAAGAAAAAAAGATAGAACCAGGGGGTGTGGTATCAAATTTGGAGGTGTAGGCCTGGTGATTTTGGCCCATTTGCATTGAAATCCATTGACCTTTTTTGATCCAGTGTGATGCTTTGACTGGGGCTTATAGTGTTCCTCAGATCCATGCCATTGATGTGGGTGCTCAGGGACACGTGGATGAGCTGCTTTTGAAGTGTATGGTGAGTCTTCAATGTTATGCTGCATGGGAATTCAAATGAAAAAATAATATTGAGTTTTGCAAGACCTGGGACTTGAACCCAGGTCATTGTGGTTACATGCGCGTGCTTTGGCCAGCTGAGCCACTTGATTTCATTTAACATATAATAGTTAATAAACAATAAAAAGAATAATCAATGCATAGTGGTCAAACGCGCGCGAATTTGAACGGATCAATCACCAGCTGACACGTCTTCTTCTTCCTCGCGTGCCCTGAAACATAAAATACAACAGCAACGGTTTTGAAGCGTTGCATTAGGTAAGCTACAAAAAAATAGCGAATAGCTTGTTTCCTAATATAAATTAGGCGCGAGTATGTCTTCTTCTTCGTCTCAAGATGCTGAGTTCAACCATGGTGGTCATGGGCCCTAATTTTTCCCCTAGGCAAAATCCCTAATTTGAGAAAGCTGTAACCCTAGGATTCGAAAATGGCAAGTTCTTATTCATGGCACAAAAATGAAATTAAACGCATTGGTCAGCTTGGAAACATCATCATGAGTATGAATATGTAATTAAAAATGCAAAAGGATGCTTAGAATCAAGAACACGAATTCAAAAATTTTGCTGTACAGTTTCACTTGTAACTACCAGTTCAAGGAGTTTTGATTGAGGTTATGAATTGAAATGCGTTTAGAATTATCTCAGGATGCTAATGGTATAAAAATTAAGGCTTGAAAAGATCCCTAGCACTGATTTCAGTTTTGCATTTTATGTCCAAATTTTCAAATTGTCCAATGGCTTTTGAACGAGTTTTTTTGCTGCACTAGGGTTAGGGTTTGACTCAATGATCATTATGGAATAGACTTGGCTTGCTATTTGACCTTAATCCATGCTTGAGAAAGAATTGGCATTAGGGTTTCTTCCATTAACCATTTTCCTTCTTTTTAGCCAAAACCTAGACCTAGTGTGCAAATGAACCTTAGCCTGATTTTTGAGTTAGTTCATGATACATAGGAATTGTCTAAGTTCATTTGACACTATTCCATTGGTTTTTAAATTTTATTTGAATTTTCAAAGAATTAAAATGAATTAAATCATTAAAAATTAAATAAAATAGAAAAAATCAATATTTGGTCTTGAAATTAACCATGGGACACGTGTGTGGCATGACAAGGATGAACAAAGTGAGAAAAATGGGGCCCTTTTGTCAAAATTGGATTTTCAAGGATAGTTGACTTTTGCCATTTCACAAAATTTTCCCAACTTCTACAAGGCATAACTTGCTCAATTATTAAGCTTTTCACATGTTCTTGGACATTTTGGAAAGGTATTTGAGTCCTTTAACCAATGCCTTTGGTCCCATGTCATTTTGATTTACCAATCTCAAGTTATGGTCTTTGACTTAAAGTCCCTTTTTGTTGACTTTTGAAAATGACCTGTAATGTTGAAATTGATAACTTTTTGTGAGAGCATTTCTTGGACTTGAAGTATGAAGATGAGTTGTAGGAAATGTCTTTCTCTTCAAAATGAGCTTTGGATGGAATTTTTCTGATAATCCATGTGAAAGTTATGCCCTGGTCAATTTCAGTTGACTTTTTCAGCTGTCCAAATATAGCAACTTTTGCATCTTTGATGATTTCTGAGCCAAATTTTGAGAATCATGATCAAGCATTGATCAAATGATGTTTGTGGCTTCAAAATGATATGTTGACCAAAAATTTGAACTTTTGACTGCCAAATGACCATTTTGCCCCTACAGTTGACTGTAGTGCAATTTAGGGTTTTGACTGTGCAATCTTGTGCTGAATGTCTTGAAACTTGATATGGGGATGCTTGACCATGTTTGTAAGCATATGAGACTTGATTGAGCCTTTGAAAACTTCCTTTTCTTGATCAGACTCAAAACCCTAATTTTGACTGTATGGGAGACTGTTGCACTGCACACCCTTGGGAAATTTTGTAGCTTGGCTTGGCAATTTCTTGAAGAATATGGGAGGGCAAATTTTGGGGTATAACAGTTGCCCCTGTTCAATCTTCTTAGACCTGAGGATGCAGATTGGCTGACGTGCCTTTCGTAATCCGAGGGTAGAAGATGATTGGACACTAGAGTGCCCGGAAATTTGCGCTCACATGTTAGCAATGATGGTGGAATGGGCTTATAGATGCCATCTGGAGATTGCTGGATTGGATGATGGGCTTATAGATGCCATCCGAATG